GCTCTTAGATAGTGATGTGGGAGAAAATGAACTACCGGATGATGCATAAGTAAGCTGACATATACCTAAGTGTAACCTGATAAAATACCTAAAATTAGGAGTAAAGCACGAATTTTAACCAACGTGTATTAGGTTGTCTTTGACTTTGTGCAAATAAGTCTTTACATATTAATAATTAATGTTCAATAAATATTTGTCTTTAACAACTTTGTTTTGATTTTATTTTCAAAACATTTTTAATTACCCCAAGAGAGCAAAGATACTGCAGATATGGCTGACTAACAGAAGTTAGTCAGTTTTGTTTGATTTTGTTTAATTCTTTTAATCAAAGATTTTATAAAAAGTGTCTAAAACATAACTCGGAATGTATATGCTATGAAACAAAGTTTTACCTATTACAATGAGATTTCAGGAAGTTAAAAAAAGAGATGGAAGTGTATGTAATCATTTTAAACAGTTTCCATCAATAAAAATTGGACAATATCTTATGTTAATACGACAAAAGTTTTGTTTCAATATCTATATGATAACAACATATTATGTTAGTTAATGCGTTAATTTAACTAAGACACTGCTGAATACTTTCTCCTTAGTGAAAAACCACGGAGCAGAAAACATGAATCCTACTTGCCAACAATTCAAATAGTATTCAATACACTCTTGTTCAACAATTTAAATTTAAATTATTCCTTGGTGGCAAATTGTTAGCAAGATGCTAATAATATATTATAAAATCTGGATTATTTACTGGTAAAAATGACCTCCACTCCAAACGAAGAGGTAGTAAATAGAAGGTATTTTACCGCTCACATTTTGGCAGTTAGCAAATTCGCAGAGATTGAAAACTAAAATATTTTTATTTAACAAGTTATAAAAAGATGAAAATTAATGCAGGTATGTAAATAATGTAATAATTGTAATAATGACATTTGTAAGACAACCCCACACCAAGCAAATACATCAAATTTGTAATGTTTCAAGAAAAACACTTTTGCGACTTTCAGAAAACTTTTCATGTGTGGGAGATTATAACAAAAATAATTAAAAACATTTGACCAATGATTTCCCCGAAATGGGATATTTGAAATCATTAAATTGTTAATAAATAGCAAATTTCAATTTTTAACATGACATAAACATAAAAAAGTAAGGACCCTTATCACTAATTTGTTGATCAAAATAATTGTACATAGTTCAGACCCTCAAAGACGGACTAAGAGCTGGTGCAATAATTATAAGTAAAATATTAAAAAGCAGACATTAAAATCAATAATGATAAAATAAAACTTCAGACATTAAAATATTTTAAAACTCGTAGAAATAAAGCTAAATAATGTTGCATGGAGTGATTTAAAAATATGTACTAATTTTTAAGTCATATCCTCGAGACAATTTATGTACCTTGATTAATTATTAGAAGGTATTCTAATGATTTGTACTTATGAAAGAAAATCTTTTATAAAATTGTGTTGTATATTTTGTAGTACCCTCGTACATGCATCGCATCGCATGTAAAAGTACATCATAATGTGATATAGAGATAAATAACATCTATTTAGATCTATATCTATGAGTCAGATAGTATTTTTGAGCTTGTATTTTTACTTTGTCATTTTCATCAATTTCAACATGTTTACCCTGCAATATTTTCCCGACATTCATGCACCACCTATGAATAATTAAGCTGATTATATAATTAATCACAAAGGTTTTTAAGTTTTCTTTGTGCTTTTTACATGATAAAAATTCGAATTCCACACCAAGATCTATTAATAATTTAATTCTATCACATATACCACTGTATGGGCCATTTTGTAAAGCATTTTTTATTATTTTAATTACTCTTTCAACACACTCTAAAAAGTTTTGGGAGGGTCTCATAAGTGATCTTCGCGTGACATCTACAGATAAAATGTAATCATCTACTTGTGGCGGAGTTGTATCACACAATTCATTGTTACATGTAATACATGATTTGCGAACTTTAATTTTTAACTCTTTTATAACTTGCCCTGCCACATACCTTTTTGTCTCCGTGACAATTTTATTTGCAACTTCTTGCGAATCGTTACCTGCCAAGCTTTGAATTATAAAATCTATGTTAATTTTATTTTCCTTTGGGGGCAGAGGTACATCATTTTTTGCCAGCAGGCAATCTAAATTATTTAAAACTTTATTGAAGTCTTTCTCACAATTTGCCCCCAAGGAATGTGTTGAACTCAAATTATTAACAAGTAATGTTTTATAAATACTTTGAAATTGTAGACACGTAGGATTGTTGTTTCTAGCCCCGTGGCTTCTTACTGAGGAGAAAAAGTTTTCCAAGGGATCTTGGTTAAAATTACGCATCAATATACTCTTTACATTGTATTTGTCAAATAAATATTGCAACAAACCTTTTATAGTGTCAATGTTATGTATCCAATTTTTTATTGATGGAACTTGTTCATAACTTACAGATGATGTAACACTACCTCTTTTTTATCTCCGTTTTGAATCTCATTGACCTTAAAACTGGTAGAACTTTATTCCATAGTGCAAAGTGATCTGAATTTGGTTTTACACAATTTTTATAAATCTTATATGTTTTCTTATAAGAACCTCCATTAAAAGAATCAAACAATTGATCAAACAGGAGAAGTATATCTGCCGTATCTTCACATTCTTGTGGCAGCAACTTATTTTCTGTAAAGAAATAAAATGTTATGAGCACTTTTCAAATAATAAGCAATAAAATGTTTGACGTAAGAGTTAATACAAGTAAATAAGCGATAAAGAGATATCTTACAAAAAATAATTTCAACGTTGAATATTAATTAACAAATTATATATACGTACTTGCACAAAATCGTAAAGCTCCTGATACTCGTTGGCTAAAAACTTGAGCTGCATGTTTCACCTTCATTTTGGGAATTTTTTCAGGCATAACATGCATTTCTGTAAGCTTATTACACATACACATTCTTAACTCATCTTCTCCTGCATCAATTTCCAACAGTAATTTTAAATGTTGCCATTTTGCTATTTTTACTTGGTCGTTCTGGACATACCTTAAGTCTTTTGATATTAAATTATTCCTCACACCTTTTAATAAATGTGGAGGGTCGAATAACGGGAATATATGATGATTTTCTATTTGAAAAGCATTGCTCCTGTGTTCTCTACCCAGTCTCAAATATTCTGCATTTGTCTCTATTAATAATTCATTTACATACTACCTTTGTGTTAATTGTTGATTGGTCACACACAGTTGCAACAACAATTAACCCTGCCTGAAATATTTCTTTGATGATACTCTTTATTAGTTTTTTAAGAACTGTTGCATTTGCGGCACTTTTGCAAAAAGCAAAGCAAATAGGTTGCTTATATTGAATTTTTACACCCTTTAACATAAACACTAAAACATGATCAGCAATATTATCATTCTGATCATTTTCACCAAAATCTTCAAAGCCGACTATTTGATCTAAAGCTTTATCATACTGTAGTGATGGTGAAAGCGCCATCTCATCAAACATTAACAAGCATAAGCGTTCTTCCGTATTAAATTTTTGTGCTGCATCTTTTATTTGACGGAATACTATTGGGTTTAGACCTGCTTTCAAAGTTATTTTTTTAAGTACATCCTGCAATGTCCTCTTTGAGGGCAAGGTAAATAATTTTCTTAGAAAATTATAGCCTTTGGGACTTCTTTTATAAATCGACAAAGCTAATAATTTTTCTTCAATATTAAAACGCCTTCCACGGTCTCTTTTATTATGCTGAGTTAATTGCATATTTAGCAATGTCTGAGCAGGCTTTGATAATGATTTCAGAATCTTTTGAAATAATTTTGTCTTTGACATTTTTTCTGCTGCTGTTATTTGACTTTTTTGATCTTTTATTTTTTTCTTTAAAAACAAGATTTTATTTAATAATTTATTAATTTTTACACCCATACGTTTTCTTTTAATCAATGTACCTGAAAAAAGTATGACAAAATGTAAGCATATAGAGATCAGACGAAATAATGACAGCATAGTTCAGATTGTATTGGAATCTCCTTTTAATGAAAGATTTTTAATAGCAAATTCTGCCATATTATATATAGTAGAAACTCGATTATCTGGCCCTCAGTTATAGTTGTTTTAGTTAGCTAGCAATTGTTACTCCGCTCTGACGTGCGTGTCTAGTCTAAATATTTAAAAATGTCAAAGCGTAAGAGAGTGGTGTTATCACTTAAAGACAAAATAAATATTATTGATTCATTAAAAAAGGAGAAACTGGTCGTAAGTTAGCTGATAAGTATGGTGTAGGTACATCCACAATAAGTGATATTAAGAAAAATGCCGATTCAATTTGGTTGTACACTTGCAAATTAGATAGTGAAGACGGGAGTAAACATCGGAAAATGATGAAGAAACCGAAAAACTAACTTTTAGAAGACGCTTTGTATTGTTGGTTTTTACAAAAACGATCAACTGGGCAACCGATATCTGGCCCTTTGCTCTGTGAAAAAGCATTACAGTTAAATAAAAAATTAGGTGGCGGCGGCTCGTTTGTCGCAAGTAACGGATGGTTATATAGATTTAAATCTCGTCATGGAATTCGTGAATTAGAAATACAAGGTGAAAAAATGTCAGCTAATGTAGACGCAGCAAACTCCTTTAAAGATGATTTTAAGAAGAAATTGGATAAAAATAACTATGACTTGGATTTCGTTTATAATGCTGATGAAACCGGATTAAACTGGAAATCATTACCTTCAAAATCTTTAGCTTCTAGGCGAGAGAATTCAGCTCCAGGATATAAAACTAGCAAAGAACGAGTAACAATATTAGTTTGCGCTAACGCTACCGGGACCCATAAAATACCTTTGCTCCTCATCGGAAAATCAAAAAAACCTAGATGTTTTAAAAATATCGGGTGCCCTTAATTTATAAAAATCAAAAAGGCGCATAGATGAACTCTGAAATATTCATTGATTGGTATGACAACACTTTTATCCCTGAAGTAAAAAAATGACAAAACGAAATTGGCAAACAAGGAAATTACTGGATAATGCGCCAACCCATCCTTCGGCTGAACTGTTGGAAAGAGAAAATGGAAAGTTTAAAGTAAAATTTTTGCCTCCTAATGTGACATCCTTACTGCAACCAATGGATCAAAGTATTATTGACACATTAAAACTACTTTATAGAAAACAACTTTTACGAAGGTTGTTATCTGTTGATGAAGATAATGTAGAAGTCGTTTTATCATTTTTTAAAGAAATGAATTTAAAGGAGTGTTGTTATATGGTTGTGGAAGCGTGGGATTTGATTGAAAAGAAAACTTTAAACAAGGCTTGGGACAGAGTACTTAATCGGGAGAATGAAAATTTAATAACCAATACGGATGATTCTATTTTGGAGGATATAAATGAGCTAATGTTAATGATACAAATATGCCAGGATTGTGATGAAGATGATATGAAAGAGTGGATCACTTGTGATAGTAATGATCAAGGCTTTCAGATTATGTCGGATGACGAAATCGTAAAAAAGATATTGCAGATAAATGAACAGCAAGAAATGCAAGAAGATTAAAAAGAAGAAAATATAGACATGGAAAATGATGCAGGAACATCTCATGATGAAGCACTTCAGGCCCTGGAAACGGCTCTCAAGTGGTTTGAAAAACAAACAGAGAGTGATAATGTGAGTTTACTTAAGCTCAAACGAATTCGTGATATACGGGCAGCAATAAAGAGAAAAATGGCTTATGTCAAATGACAATTACCAAATATTTTAAACGAAATTAAACTCATTATTTTATTTCATAATTACGAAATACAAATTACCAAATACACATTCTAAACAAATTATACGTACATAGGTATCTATATATTTTATTTCATAATTGAGGCTGCAGTATTTTTGTATGTATGTGTGTAATCTAAGAAAATATGTATTACACAAATAAGTGCATACATTGTATATTGAAAAATGTATCTCTTAATAATTTCTTAATAAACATTGATTTTCGTTGATATTGTTGTTTTTAATAAACACATAACATTATGTATGTACATATGTACTACAAATGCACAAAACCCGCTTTTCTTCATACATTCGATTATCCGGATTTTCGATTTTCCGAATCCCTAACGGCAACAATTAGTCCAGTTAATCGAGTTTCCACTATAATGTATATAATGCAATATGCTGTTAGAATGCTTTTGGAGCAGGCGCGGTGCTGTAGTGTGCACAGTCCAATAAAGTAGCATTCCTACTGCATGGCTTGCGGACCAGTGATAACAAAATTTTTAAGTTATATCTGCAAGAGTTTTAACCGCTTTATCAGAGTCCTAGTTACTTCAGATGCAACGAACGCAAGGTACAACCATTTCGGTCAGCTGCGTACCCACATGTTTTTAACCTTGTGCGTTGTGAGCCAGGTTTAGATAAATAAGAGGAGGCGAGTGACGGAAACTGGGGTCGGCTTTAGTAACCTGCTGCACGATTTAAGCGATTATTTTAGCTTTAGTTGACAGGCAATGATGCTATTGATTACCATTTAGCTGCTTTTTATGCTGGAAATCTTTATTTTTCGAGATATCGAGGTATTTATAAATTTTGAGGTTATATCGAGTTGGCTAGACATCTGGTACTTGACTTTGATAATGTTTTTAGTCTAGGAGGCTTGTTAGGGTTAATCTTAAACCTACTACACTGTTTTTAGATGTCGGAAATGCATTTTGAATTAATTAAGATAAAAACAAATTTCCCCAAAAATAGTGTAAAAGTCAATTTGTTCTCATATTATGAAGTAGATTTCCGATACTTGATTTTTTAATTATGTTTTCAATTTAGGAGGATTGTCAGGGTTAAGCTCGAACCATTTACACTGTTTTTGGATTTCAGAAATGCCTTTTGAATTAATTACTTACGATAAAAATAAATTTCACTTTAAATTACATATAACGAAATGCAAATATGTCAGTTTGTATTCTTAACACAGATACACTCATAAAAAAGTTTATCACTCGGACCCCCGGATGGGACTTATATACAACAAATTGAGTTGCAGTGGATAGCAGTCAAGAGGTTTATCCGAAAACAAAATTATAACAATTCACATTATATTATTTCATTTACCACTCTAGTAGCAGAGTTAAGAGCAACTAGACTTTATAGATAAAATAGGTCGAATCGGTTCTAAAACCGAATTAGCACACCCCAACGCCACATAGTCTTGTCTGCCCTACCCCTAGAGTGTTTTTGTAAAGCCGTAGGCACGGAGGGAGAGCAGCCCCCGCCCGCTGTAGCAGATAGGCTTGGCAGAATAACCCGCCTGCCAAGCGTGGCAGCTATGGCAAATAGTACCTACGAGGCAATGCGTGGGCAGCCTATGCATAGCGGACTTTTAATGATTACAGCCCATGCCTTGAACTTTCAATTTCTTACATAATAGCTGTTTACAAGTGAATAAAATCCGGAAACTATGCGAATATTACAAAATTACTTACCAAATTTGTCACATTTAAAAACACACTCCTTCCGTAACATTTTTAAAAAGATTAAATATAAAAGAACTGAAGTAGATCACAAACTTATTAAAATAAAACACATAAATGCACGAGAAATCGGAATAATATCAAATAGATATTGATATTAATTTAAGCCTTACTACCAGTAACTGCCATTAACTGCGTAGTGCACCGCGCATGGAACATGGATGGCTTCGTATGTATAAACCTAATATATATACGTGCCCTCTAGTTCGAATAAAAGTAAGTCTAGTTTACATGTCCACACGAAAGATGGCAGCACAAAAAGATATCAATTTGTTCTCAAAATAATGTTCTAAGTTGCATGCCCATGTTTAGTTCGCTGCCGCTATCACACGGCGAGGGTCAAATACATGCGATTAGAAAACAAACATTCCATACTTAACCTATAAAGTTTACAATTTGTGATACCTTATTCATTTAGAGAAATGGATAAAATAGAAGACATTCTATCTAAACCAATCCAAACTGAACTTGTGTTTTTCGTCAATGGGAAGAAGGTACGTTTTAGAACAATACAATAACTGTAACTATTATAACACTAACAACATTTTAACCTTGATAGAGAAAAACTATTAAAGTTCTTTCTTATAAATATGTATTCTATTCTTAATATTTTCGAAACAATTACTTTATAGGTACCTACTAATATATAAGTATTTCAAGTTCAGATGCAAGAAGATATACATGTACATGTACAAGTAAATGATAAGTACTTAGGTAACGTTATAGGTATGTACAATTAAATGAAAGGTACCTACTATGCTCTGAGCTCTCTTTCTCTTGTTATTTTGTAAAAAGAGAAACAACAAGAAAGAACAACTTAAAGTAGGTACCTATTTCATAAATTCACGTCGATTCAATTATGAGTGAGGCCCCTAGCCTAGACTTAGCAGCAAATAATCGTAAGTGGTAAAAGCGAAAGATTTGAAGAGAGGAATTTCAATTGTTTAAACACTCGATAAATTATAAATAAATACATCAGTTTAAGTATATCTATTACTGTAGGTATAATATATACTCGTATTTTATTATAATATCTGATACTACATTGTTTTACTTTTATGATCTAAATGTAAGCTCAGCGGTACGTACCTACCTAATACTTCTTGTACCATTATGTATTTATGCTGTGCTAATACTATCATAATAATTTAGATAGTGAATGCCCCTATTAGCCTATTACCAGCCTTACAGTGCCAATTTTTTTCACTTTAAAAATTCCTGCTATTTTATTTATTTATACAACAATATTTTTAAATATTTGTTTTATTCGATAGGTTATTTATCCAAAAATATAATGAATCTTCTTTACAATCATATTATTTTGAGAACTTTTTCAAAAACAACTTATGGTTAAAATTCCAGCTACCCTCTACCACAGTCAAATTTAGACTGTTTTTATACTGTGCCTGACGAATGTCGTTCTTTTGTGTACATCACAAAATAACTTTATATATACTGAAAGTGTACATAATGCCAGCCTAGCGTAGGGTTATATCCTTTGAGTTTTTGGTAGGTACCTATTAAAGTTTTAGAGGGACAGTACCTAATAAATTCGTAACAACATCACGAGCATAAAATGGTATTAATTTTGATTATATACATGTATATAATCAAAGGGTATTAAGACGGATAAAAACTTACTGTAAGTGTTTTAGTTTTAAGCATTTCGATATTCCTTTTAAATTATAATAAAAATTATGTAGCATATCGATTTCTTCTAAATTAACCATCCAAGTTTTCGAATCATCATTATGAAAAATATCGATGTCACTATAATACCTACATAAGAGTGAGCTAAAACATGATAATACAAGCGTTTTCTCTATAAATATTTGATTTTTGTACACTATATGGTCTTACTTTTGATTTCGGAGAATATTGAAAATACGGTGAAGTAGAAAACGGTTCATCTGAAGTATTGACACACACTTCAAACTAACATTTTTTTATTACCTCTAGCTGTTTCACATTTGCTAGCATAGAGCAAAAAGCATGATTCTAAATAAGCGTGTTCAAATCAAGCAGTTGGACACACATGCTATTTAAATGCAGGCTCTCTGCCAAAATGAAAGCTTTGCAAAAAAATACAAAAGACTAATAAATCAAAATAACTTTTGGTAAATCCAAATGTGCATGCCTTAAGTGCCCACTTTATATGCCATTTCTTATAGTATTTTAAATATACAACGAATCATCTTGATACTATTAGAACTAAAAGAATAAAATAATTTCCACATGATAGCTTATGAGGTCAGTGCTAAGACATAGCGTGTATATGAGAATTAATATCCGATCTAGCCCTGACATCGGAAAAAATTATTTTATACTTTAAGTAAATTGACGACGGCTTTTCTTTTTTGCTCTATTGGGTAGACTAAGGAATGTGACAACTTCAAGCTAAGAACTATAAAGGGGTAAGTAATATATGTTCGAATTGAAAAATATGTACTGTATAAAATAGATTTTGTTTGATATGCATTTATTCTGTTTTATAATGTAAAGTGAATTCATCAAAATAACAATTTAATTTGTGTTGACGGGGATCGAACCCGGGTTGCTCGCGAGCACTTCACCCTTGAGCTACCATGGCTCATATCTTTTTTGAAACGTTACCTCCACACTAAGAATGTTTCCTAGGTATATCGTGGAGGCAGTTAACGTAACAACATAAACTTCAAAACGACAAACATCCAGACCCGAAACAATAATTTTAGGAATACAAATTTTTGTTCCGTGCGGGAATCGAAACCGCGGTCCTTAGGGTTAAACTAATTGCTAAGCCCCTCCGCCATGGAGCCTTCAAATATATTTTTTATAGTGATAAGTATTTTAATTATAAATTGCTTATTATTAAATAAAATTATTAATAATTAAATTAAATAATATCATTTAACAAAGTATCATTCGTTGTGTTGTGTTGCGCGTACTATTATTTATTCTGGAGTTGCGCCTTCATCGTTTCCGATAGTGTGGCCTAGTAAAATTGGAAATTTGGGGAATTTTGTTTTAAAATCGGGACAGTTACAATAG